ATAGAAAATAAGAAGACCGAACCCATGTTTTCTGAAATAACCGAGGTAAACTCAAATATTTTTTCAATTAAATTCCAAACATATTTATTATATATTATTACAAAAGAGTAATGATGTTTATCATTTTATGTTAAATATGAAAGATTACAAAATATATATTTAAATATTGATAATTTGTTGTTACAAAATAAAATAACAAATAATAGAACATCTTATTATTTTATTAAAAGTTATTAATAATAGTTGTGACACTTTATTTGCACTTAATCTTGAGCGTTTTTCATAAATTGACCCTGCCTTCTTTAGAAAATATCCGCTCAACATCTGGTTTAACAATTGTCTCCGATGAAAATCACTAAACAAGTAGGTAATAATATTTTACCGAATCGTGCAATACAATGCAAATAGACATCATCTGGGCAGCATCTGGACTACAGACGGAGAGTAAGACAGGAATCGGTACCGGGATTCTATCGATACGATTTAATTTAATTTAATCTTTTCTTGATACGAATTTGCGTCCACAATCAATCAGGTGACTTAAAATAGGTCCAACAGTTTTACAAAAACTTTATTGTAGTGGATCTTAGGCACAATTTTGTTGCACAACATCGATTGTTCTTAAAACAATATTTAACAGTACACGGCAATGGGCAATCTCATTTGCAATGATAAATACCTGGTCGTTTGAAGATGATCAATGCAAATTGATGGACGATCCGCATTTTTTTGCACTTAAACTGCTTTAGTGTGTATAATTGTGTGTGCACTTTAATTGGAAATTTAGAAGAAGGCGAAACTCGAATAGGCACTTAGTACATAAGCACCCTTAATCTAGTGTTTGCAGTATCTGCAGCTTCTCCCTTGATAATTTGTTGATTCATTGTTATCAGCGTTATAAAATAAATTGTACAGATATAATATATAGGAAATACAGAACATAGAACAGAACACAATAATATCACACTCAATAATTGATAAATCAAAATCACTGTCAGTTTAATAACACAATGTGTATTTGAAAAGTTTACCAGATTTACAGATGCACCCGCACTATGAGAAAAATGTCGAATTCAAAGTGCATATGTGCGTGCCAAGCCTCAGGCGCCTCCGCCGTGACCGAGAAAAATCGGTTCACCCTCCCATAAATAGTTATCACTTCAATAATAGAAATCCGAATTAGAAAGTTAATAAAAAAGTTATTTTGAAATATTTTAAATTTTCTTACTTCTGCGGGGGGACAGACAAGCAATCGTAATCATAATCCGCAAATATTCAGCATCATTATCACATGCTTTGCACAATTTCACTTTTTTCTAATCTTTCGTCGTGTTGTTTTTGTCGAAAGCGCCGAAAAAGAGCTGAGATTTTTATATAAACAATTGCACATTTAAAATGCAAGTTAAATGAAATTTTGAGTTTTAAAACTGTATACAAACTTTCCTACTCCATTATTTACTTCGCTTTTAGCTTTTATGGAAAATTTGCCCCCGCTTGTCAAGGAAATTGAAACAAGCAAAATCCATTACGAAAATCTTCCAAGTAAAAAGTGTTTTACCATTCAGTTTCTTGAAATCAATTATCAAGTTTAGGGGATAAATGAGAGGTGCAAAGCAGTGCGTCTCAACGTTGCAATTCCCTTTTCTAATTAAAACTTTAATTTTACTTTTTCGTGTTTCAAGTTTAGTGCCTTTGGGCTTCAATGTGTGTTTTTCAAGATTTTGATACTTTGCCCGACTGACTAGCAGGAGTTAAGGAAAATACAGTGTGTCCTGTTCAAGTTAATTTTAAATTGTAGTGGAGCGGTGTCCTCTACAGAGTGTCTAAAATGAACAAGAAATCCGTCCAATAAACATGCCACATTATCTATTGGTTCCGAATAAGCAAGATCTGTTTGAACTTTCCGAACATTCTAGTTTAATTCCATCGTAACAATAAGAGCTTCTGGGCAAAAGGAATATTTGCCATTCCGCAAAACGTTTGGAACAAACATTAAATTCCAACAGCCCTATGGGGAACAATTCTACAGATTGTACGTACGTTGGTTTGGATCTTGTGGGCATAAGCAAAAGATCCTATGATAGAATATTGATGCTGCAAATGGATGCCAGCGTTTCACTGGCTTTCACAAAATAAAAAAATCAGTAGACTGAACAGTCCTCCAAACAGAATGTTGTTTTAAAGTTACACTTTGGAACAAAATCAATTAGCTAAAACTTCGTTTGCTTGATCCAGCATAATCTAGGTCGCTGGAGGCAATTTGGAATCGACTATCCAACTTCCTTGAAATATGTAATTTCTGGGAACCGAATTTGCAAAAACTTTGAAACTTTGGAAACCTGAAAAAAATGCGCAATCGACTAACTTTAAAATTAGCGAAAAGTTTTAATTAGGGTGTGGGAGCTAAATGCATTTTAAACGAGGAAATCGAGCGAAATTACCGTTAAACAATGCAATTAAATTTACATACATTTACCGCAACTCAAAATTGCCCATTTTGGCCCATATTGCGCATAGTTAATACCGGCAGAATTAATACTGAGACCTGAATTACTGCAGTGCTTTCGGTCCATAAAAGCACATTAATTATGCGGCACTTGGATTTTGAATTGGAAAACTGCACAACACAATTTGGCTCGTTACTTGATTTTTCTTTATCCGAATTTTACGTTTATTAATTCCTGATATTAATTTTTTGTTCAGTTTATTGAACCGCCATTCAATCTAGACAAATACCAAATCTGAAGCAATAAATGTTTATTAGTTGATCAACAATTTCCCGCCTTGTTTATCACAAACAAGCGTTTCGTTCAAAATATTTTATGAGTCAATTATTAGCTCGAACGATAGAATAAGGAAATTGCATGCCAATAACAGGCGAATATTAAAGAAGTTAATAAATTTTGCGCTTTCATTCATTGAGTAATTGGTAATTGATTTTAAGTTATGATTAAGTCGGATTTTTTAGTTCTTAATGTTTTTTCCTTTACTCCATTCAAACACATTAGACATTACTATTAAATTTTTTTTTATTGAATATTTAATATACCAGGAAACGATTGAACTAAATATTAAATTTCAATAGCCGCCCAAATGATTAATGATCAACATTTTATTACTGCGTTCATTTAAAATTAATTCGCTTTAAACCGTTTAAGGGTAAAGCAGAATTATTATGCCGTTAAGGGCTGCAGGAGAATATTTGCTATGTCACGATGCCTGATCTTCGGCTTGATTAATTATCAAGCGCCCACATTGAAACTACATCATGCCATATAATTAAGCAATTTATCACAAATAATCATGTGAAATCTGCAAAACAGGTTTTTATCACCATTGAGAACATCAAGGCAAGATTTGGGCTGGATTCAATTAAATTTGCTTAGGTCCTTGTGCTAAACTGCAGACATTTTATACGCAATGAGGATTCCAGATTGGAAGCTTCCCAAGCTATAAAACACGTCAGAAGCCAAGTAATAAAATGTCTTTTATTACTGCTACCTTGTGACTGGCTGGATTGTGTAGTGTGGTATTTATTTTCCATAAAACTTTCAACTTTTTCCAGTTATGGAGCAGCGGACGTAATCTGAAAAACCCTCATTTTTTTGTTTTTATTCGACATTTCGAAGAAAAGGACTTGCAGTTCGGGTTTTAATGTTTTTCTTGAATACAATCGGCAGAAGGATAAATTTGGCCGTTTGTTTCTTTATAAATTCCAAGCTCGCCAACAAGAAGTGTAGTTTTGCGCCACTTTATTGCAGCCTTTGAAATTGCTTTTTATCGCTTTTTACTAAAGTTTGTACGCAATTATTCATTTCATTGCGGTGGTTTTACTTATTTCATACACTTTT